TCCATATAGCGACGATTTTTCCAGAACGGATTACCGTCGCTATGCGGGGCTCCACTGTATATGTATAAGTTTATAAAATAATAAAATAAATAAATAAATAAGATCTAATAGAAAATCAGTTGAAACGTACAAAAACAATTCTTCACTGAACAGGTACTTCTCTTACTCTCCAAAAGTTTACTCAAGACAGCATAGTAATCTCATGTAGTACTTTTCAAAAGAAACAAATCCCAATCGAAGTTCATAATATATGTTTAGCGTTCTCACCACCACCACATTACTTTCTTACTAGGAACAAGATTACTATGCTGTAAATCAGTTGAAACGTACAAAAACAATTCTTCACTGAACAGGTACTTCTCTTACTCTCCAAAAGTTTACTCAAGACAGCATAGTAATCTCATGTAGTACTTTTCAAAAGAAACAAATCCCAATCGAAGTTCATAATATATGTTTAGCGTTCTCACCACCACCACATTACTTTCTTACTAGGAACAAGATTACTATGCTGTATTCACAAACTTTCACCATCTCAGGCCATCGAGCAACGAAATATTTTTATATCTCTGCCCACTCCACAGAAGACAATCTGTAAACAAATCAGCTTCTGGAAGAAAAAGTAAAGCTTACTACATGTTTCTTTTCCATACCCATTTTATTTACTACGATTCTTATTTTAGTATTTTGCTATTTAAATTTTCAGCTACCCTGTAGCCTGGAGAAGATGCCAAATAAATTTTAAAATTTGTAATTTGTACTTTCAAAATATTGTTTTCAAAATCTTTTCATAACTGATTGGGAAAGATCATTCATTTTCTCTAATTACCCAGATCACCTTGTTTTCACACAAGAACTCGGAATTTATACCATTCATGCTAGAATTCTGGGAATAATAGCAATTCTGGGAATACAAATCTCACCTCTTTCAACTGACCACTTTTCCTTTCAACAGGAAGAGATTTGCCATCATGGAAGTTGGTAAGAATCACTGCAATCATAGTAAGTGTTTTACCCTAAAACAGAAGTAACAATTGGTTGGTATTCTTTCATAAAACAAATAAGCCACATCCCAATGCAATGTAGATAGTTACCAGTCCCATATCGTCTGCTAATATTCCTCCAAGTACATTTTCCGGTCGCTTTTTTTCAGCAAAGTTTGTAACTGTATTGTAGAAGTAATCCTCCCTTTCTTCCCAAAATGGAGGTAGTTCCTTATTGTTCTCACGTGAGATCATCCAAGCTAAAGCTTGTTTCTGATGTGGAAGCAACTGAGTTAAAACAGCCTGGAAAATTAAGAAAGTAATTATACTTCATAGTAAAACTCACAATTTGTTATAGTAATTCATTGATTTCCATTGTTATAATTTAGACTGAAAGCATAAGTTATCAGGATATCAAACAGTATGACATAATAGATACAATACACACTTCCGCAGCTTCCACTTCACGGGTTTTATCATCTTCCTTTAGATCTTCAAAGAGTTTGTCAAATTCAGTTTTCAGCTGCAATAAATAATATTTATGAAAGTTAGCCTTCCCCATTCCATGAAGCTGTTAACGTATTTATTACTGTACCTGAATCAGGAACTATCAACAATTTCCTGTAAATAACCTCAATGCCTTCCTACACCTTCCAGGATAGAAATGCTTGCATCTGCAATGACGTGAACTCCACATCATCAATAGGTTTTTAAGTGAACTTGTCTAGACCACTGTCCAGTATTCTGAAATGGCTTCCAGCTACTGAAGCCCAATGATAAAGGCAAAACAGGGAAATTTGTCAAATCCCATTTCTGCCTTCTATGGGCAGAATTTGCCAGACAGAATAAGTGCACTGCTTTCCATTCCATTTCCTGGCCAAAATCGTGATCACTGGAGTCCTAAACTGGATGGAACAAGGACAGCTCAAAAATGACATCCTTCCACATATTCTGCTCAAGCATATTTTGTTTTCAGTCCTCCCTCAATGTGAGGTGAAACAGATGGTAATCCACTAATACAGCTTTCTCTACCAGCCATGCAGAGAACCATTTCTATCTGTCTCAAACATTCCATGACCCCCCTCAACAAACCTCAAACAACCTCAATAATTACTTGCTATTTTTCTCTTTTTAACATTGGCAAAGGAAGCATTTAAACAGCAGGTTAAGAAAACAACATTCTGTTTCAGGACGCATGTTTACAGTGTTAAGAAGTACAATTAATAAATGGTACTATTTCAAGATTCTAAAGGAACAGTTCATGGGATCCTGGAGATATGTATTTTAAGCTGTATTCATTTTTACAAAGGTGTCCTAGACAGCGGTTCACAGTGTTACAACAAAAATAGACATATATTATACCTGCTCAGTTGTCATTTGCACCGCAGCATGGGCTGGAGCACTGTACATTCTTCCAAATTTCCCAGATGTCGAGCCAGTACCCATTCCAAATTCTACACCTAAATGTTTTTTTTAAAAAAAGAATGATTAAAAAATTAATCAGGGTAAGTGCTCTCCTATGATTAGTAGGGCCAACCCTCTATTTATAGAATTTTGTGAAATATAAAGTAAGCAAAAATTCAATAAACTGAGAAGTCAACTCCTTCAGAATTTGATTAACAGATTTTTAGTGTGTAACTACCAAAATGAATTTTAACTTACCTCTTCCTGGAGGAGCTAACTTAAATCCATGCATCTTCAATCGATTTAATACTGCTTCCTTATTTTCCTCTCTTCCCCAGAAATTCAACTGTACAGGCATAGTGAAAACATTATTTGCTCCACGTGGAACAACCCTAAAGAAAACAGAGTTATGTTACATTTATGCCCTTCCCTTTCTGAATGGCACACTTATCTTCACAACACTCTTCTCGGGAAGGTTAAGAACGAATGACACAGTAATTGAGCTTTGATCAAAGTCCAGCACCTAATGATTATAACTGAGTTATTTGCTCAGTACAGAATATATAGTCTATATTTCAACTATTTCATTAAGCTTTCATGACAGCCAATAAATGCTTAAAAGAAAGGGATAAAAGGGTAAGGGAGAAACTGATGACATTTTGAAAGCAGGGATGTTGAAAGAATGTTCCATTTCTGCTGCTGTTACATGCTGTTGAGCTGCATCCAAATTAATGGCAACCTTAATAGGGTTTTGAAAGTATGCGAGATATACTTGGGGTGAATCCCTGCCATTCCCCAGTATTTATTTACACAATGTTTTAAAACCAAGTTTTTAAAATAATAGTTAGAACAAATGAAACAATTTAAATAAAAAATAAAACATGGGTACCATACTTCAAAAAGAAATTGAAGTTGAGCTGTAGAAAACATTAAGTGCAGCAGCAAACAACAGTAAGAAATTGGAGTAAGATTAAAAGAAAACAGAATCTTGTCTTCAATACCTAACCTTAATTCTGCTACAATTTATGATGTTATAGAATTTTTATATTCTTTGAATTGATTTTAATCTTCACTGACCGGCTCACAGTTTACCACAGTACATGCTCCATATCTAATAAATGTGGACTTACTTCTGCATAGATATACGCAAAATTCTACTACAAACTACCAACAAATCAACTCCTCTGTTATATAAATTGTTTCCTGTAATTTGTGGCACCCCCTCCAAATATTCTACTTTGGTTTAGATGAGAAATTCATTCTAATGCCACAGAATATGATACCAACAATAAGAATGTTGTGTTTATACAAAATGCAAGTGCTATTTTACTTAAGAACACAATACTTTTATTAATGAGAAAAATAGCAATTACAGTGCAAATACTCACCCTTCAACCACTGCCAACTTGTTGTCCATGATATAAGCCAAGGGCGCTGCCAGTTCTTTTTTGATGTGGCCTACCTGGTCTCCATTCACATTGTTTACTTTTACAGCATTCTTGTCATATGGATTAGCAGGCTCTCGCTGGAGTGCGACCATTTCATTGTTACTGACCTGCAAAATAATATATTTAGAATTAAACAGATATAAAAATAAACAATGAATATGCAGAATTTACTTGACAAATAATTTTTAAGGAACCCAGTTTTGTATTTAAACAAAGGCTGACATCTAGTTGCCCCATGTCAGTGGTCTTCAACCTTTTCCGAACTGCAGACCGGTTGTGATGGGGCAACCCCCGTGCTCGCAGGTGGGCGGGGCACACACACGTGCATGTGCGGGTGGCACTCACAGGGGTAGGGGCATACCCGGGGCATACCCCACGTGAGTATGCTCCAGGTAGGCGGGGCATACTCACGTGCATGCGTGGGTGCAGCATGCTTGCAGGTGGTGGGGCACCCGTGCATGTGGGTGAGCGGGGCACCCATGTGCGCGGGGAGGGGGGAGATCTGTCTCCATGGCCTGGTCATGCCAAGGCCATGGACCAGCACTGGCCCACGGACCGGGGATTCAGGACCCCTGTCTCATGTGACACTGTGCTTTGATTCAGTGGAAGATGCATGAGCTGAAAAGAGAAGCAGGGAATTTCAACAATTCACCCTCTGCCCGCAATGGGTAGGCCACATATGTTGAGGAAGAAAATTAAGCCAGGGAGCCATCTGTTTCAGAAGTAATTATAAAGTATGTGACATATGAAAGTATCCTAAAAGAGAAAGAACTGAGAAGGTTGAAGGTCTTTAGAGAGTCAAGATAAAGAAATCACAAAAACTAGTTGCCTAAGTACGTGTACCTGAAATAAGAACGATCCATCCTTTTTTTCCATAAACAAGCTAACTGCATACATACACCAATGGCTATTAAAAGGCCTCATGTTCTCTACTGCTTTGGAATACTTTGAGCATTGTTCTTTGTGATCACAGTACTACTTTGAATTAAACAACCTAGTCTAAAATTTCATCTGGAGATTTCTTCCATATTGCAAAGCAACACTCTGAAATCTCCAGAATTGATCTGAGAATGGAGCAGGCACCTTTCTGTCTGTTGAAAGATATATTTGCTGGATCAAAGAGTATTGCCTTAGCAAAAGAATAATTAGATAGTTCTGTGTTCTTAATCTCAAATACCAATAGTACACACAATAAAGGAGCCAAGAAATAAGATTATTTGTAACCTCTTGCTAAGAGCAAACATTTGAAAACCACTGATGAATTATAACGTGACATTCTGAGTTTAAGAGTTTGCAGAAAAGGAAACCAGGAAGTGAAGGCAACTTATTTATCAGCTCTCAATGCTATCACTTGTTATTGCTCCTGTACTTACCACCCCTGTATAGTACCGTAATCCAACCACACTGCCTCGCAAAGTTCCAAATAAAATAGCTGAATCAAGGTCTTCATCAGTCACCCCAGCAACACTGGGTCCCACAATGTCTTCTAGGCTGGGATAAAATTCACGTGTAAAGGGATTGTAATGCTTGTCTCCATACAAATCAGGATCTAATTCCCATGGGAAGTTTCTACAAGAAAAAAATTATAAAGATTTGGGAATTTCATTTATTCTTTTAGATTTTTTAGGAGACTTTCAATAGTTTTTACTCAGTTTCAACACTAAGTACTATTTTCACATTACTATATTACAGATTTTTTTAAAAAAATAAAACCATTAAAAGATTAATACATATCTATTCAAGTTAATCTGACTTCTAGATAAAACTAGATGAATCAGTAACTCTGGATTTAAAAAGATAAAATAAAAATTAATACAAAATTGCATTCTCAAAGGCTTTCACAGCCAGGATCTAATGGTTGTTGGGGGGGTTTCGGGGTCTTTGGCCATGTTCTGAAGGTCGTTCTTCCTGACATTTCTCCAGTCTCTGTGGCCAGCATCTTCACAGGAACAGGAGTAGGAACTCTGTTGACAGAGCATGGACAAAGTTCCTACTCCTGTTCCTCTGAAAATGCCGGCCACAGAGACTGGCGAAACATCAGGAAGAACAACCTTCAGAACGTGACCAAAGAGCCCAGAAAACCCACAACAACCATAATACAAAATTAATTTAAACAAATTAAACTACCACTGATACTTTAAGTCTATTGGGACTTTGTTTTAGCATATTTGATCCACCAACAATCAAAACTAAAAATACACTACATGTTATATAAATTAACTCAAACATATTTTCAAATCCAAAATGTTTTTATGCTGAAGTATTTGATAACCAAATATTCACAGGAGTAAACATATAAAGCAACCCTATGCATGCTTAGCCAGAAGTCTGACTGACTGCCACCAGAAATGTAACAACAGAACTGTAATTCTTAATGTTCTACAGTTTTTGGAATTCAGTTTAACAGCATGTATGTCCTTTTGGATACAAAAATGCTATTAGATGCACCCCCTTTATATTTGTTTAAATCAAAGTACTAAGAAACATACACAATGGAAAATGTTGGCACAGTGAACTTCAAATTTTACAGGTGCCATGGTGGACTTGCTTCAAATGAGCATTAGTTATATTGAAATACCTCAAAATACTTGGAGACAGACCAATAAAATATAAACCCTCTTTTCATATTCCATCTACACATTCAGCAAGAATGCAGGGAGCTAAATCACCATTGTTCCACAGTATCTGTGCATTCAAAGAACTGTATCAACCATCAAAAACCCATTTTCTTTCAGGGGTCCTTATCACAAGTGCAGGTAATCAGCATCTACAGCCCTTTGGTCATGACCAGGCCACAAGCCACAGTTCCATTCTCTGTCCTTTAAAGTAACATATGAAAAAAACTGTAATACAATAGGGAAAGCTATTATAATTATTATTTTATAGTTTTTGAAACAGTGAATTTTTAGATACTGAGGGGTATACATGTAATTATGTAATGATTTAGATGGAATTATCAAATAAAGAAATCCTATGAATCTCACAAATGTGTGTTCAACGTACATGACTAATGCTCTAGAATGGTTCTGAAATATAGCTGCACTGGAGAGCTCCTGCAAAGTACAGTAACTGGTAGCATAATTCTTTGTCTATCCTTACATACATTTGCTGCTATCCTGGCCTGTGCACATAAGCATGGATATTACAGGACACCTAGACAGAGCTCTTTAGAGAAGCATTTGATGGCAGCCTCTCATGACATTTTCTACCATTGGCCTGCTATTTAATTTTATTGTCTTCTATACTGTATACAGATGTTTTGTCTTCTGCACTTGAAATTTTATTATTTGATTCGTTGTCTGATTTTTTCACATGCTAACCACCCAGAATAGTGCTTTGCACGAATTGGACTGGTCCCAGCTTTGCTTTGTCTGCAATTCTAACCCAGACAATACGGAGCAAGTAGCTGAAACCACCCCCCGCGCGCCATTTTATTTATTTATGTATTTAAAATGTTTTTATCCCGCCTTTCTCCTTAAAAAGGACCCAAGGCGGTTCACACTAATTAAAAAATAGCATTTAAGATCGGCAACAATGAGCGGGCAATAAACTGCAACACGGCTCTATGGCAAGGGCTTCAACTGAGGTCCTTCGCAGGCTGACCCCCTCCCCTCCCCTCAGAGGGTCAGCCTGACAAGAGACAAAAAACCTCTACGTCAGCTACTCAACCCACCACCGGCCGACAGAAGCTGCCCCCCCCATCCCCAAACCCACCTCAGGAATTTCCAAGCCATGTTGCCGCACTCTAACTCAAGTAACCGGGCACGCGCACACACACCCACACCCCTCAAGGCCTCTTCGGACCCAAAGAGCGGCAAAAAAAGTCGCGCGGCCGCAACGTCACCGGATGGAACGCGCGCGCCGTTTCTCCGCGGAATCGACATTGGTCGGATCCCCTCGGACGAACAGCCAATCGCTGATAGACTAGCTCACATACGGACCAAAGAGCCGCCGCAGGAGGTCGACCGAAAGACTCCCATCTCTTCTCCTATTGGTGGTTGTTGCCGGGATGTCCAATCAAATCCCTCCCTGTTTTTCTTATTGACGCTCCTGTATTGGGCCATTTCTGGAGAAAATAGAACTCGCTGAAGAGGCCAGTCCTGCTGTGGAAAATGGAGGGCAGTGGGCAAAGGGGGGAGACCTAAGATGCGAGAGGTTTATTTATTGGCCCAATAAAGGAAACTACGGGCTTTCATTTTTGTGCTAAGAAAAAATAGGCGTTTTAAAACCAAAGACCGGGCCGTGCGGCTTCTATCCAAAAGACTGTGCCGGATTGCAGCCTTAATCGCCGTCAACCCTATAACAGCCGGGCGGCTGCTGACGCCTCGCTCCACCTGACCGGCGTGGGGCGGTGCCCGTTGCGGAAGCGGCCGCTGTCGCCTCGGGGACTGCAGGAGACGGGATCCGGGAGCCCTCGGCTGCCCGGCCGGGGAGCGATCATGGTGCAGCTCTACCACTTGCACCCGTTCGGCTCGCAGCAAGTGGTGCCCACCAAGCAGGAGCCGGCGGCCTTCTGTTGCGCGCGGGACGCGCTCCTGGTGGCGTGCGCGCCGGGCGCCTGCAAGGTGGAGGTCTTCGCCCCCGCCGGGCGCCCGGAGGTCAGCGAGGCGCTCGGCTCTTTCCATACCCTGGGCCGGGTGCTGAGCCTGGCGTACAGCGAAGCCGGTAAGGGAGAAGAAGCTGAGCCGCCCGTGAGCCCGAGGCTAGAAGAGACGCTCTCTTGTGGTGGTGGTGTTATTGTTTTGCTCCTTTTCCCTGAGAACTCCCATTGTTTCGTCCACGCCCTTACAAATCAGTTTCATCTTCGCGATAGCCCTGTAAGGTGGTTCTGCCCCCGAATATTCGGGCGGATTTGAATCCCGGTCTTCCAGGGAGCAACGTCCTGATCTCCGCTGCCGGAAAGAAATTTGCTTCATGCATTGATATTCTGTGCGTGTTCCTTCAGAAGTGCCAGGTAGTCATCAGTCAGGTTGAGGATGGAGGGGGGAGACTAAAGAGACTTGGCTTCAAGCCCCCCTTCACCGTGAAGCCTGCTGTGTGGCGGTGGGCTAATTATAAACTCTCAGTTCGACCAAATTTACAGGGTTGTTGAGTGGATGAAGCAGTACAGAGAGGAATGCCTTGAGCTTATTAGTGCAAAAGTTAAGATATGAATGAAAAATAAGTAAGCATTTTGTATAGATTTAGAAGTAAGTATCATAAATATGGTTTGAGCTCCCAGGTTGGGCTATGATGTAAACATCCTTCAAATAAAAGTTCCGCTCAGAATCCTGTTGCCAATTTATGCTGGTTTAAGGGAGAGTTTGTACATCTTGGGGATGTGTCCAAGAACACAACCAGCACCTCAGTAATGAATAGTAATTTCCTGCAGAGACTTAGAATTTTCCGTATTCAAGCTAAATCAGCAATAGGATTCTGATGACAGTTTAATTGTAGAACCTTCTGCTTATGTGTGAGGGTTCATTCTTATGGGGGGGCAGTCACACTCAATAAAGGTTGAAACGGGTTTAGTAAAGAAACAGGTTCAGTATTTATTTCAACGTCAACTCCAACAGGAACATTCGGTGTAAGCACATTCAACTTCTCCTGCGTCTCGTATCCCGGACGCAGGGGTGTCCATAGGTGTCCCAAGAAGGGGTTAGTCTCTTCTCCAACCCACGGGCCGGTTATAGCCATCACTGGCCCTCCGATGTCGGGCAAATCCTCACCCGGGTTTATTAAGGGAAGGGTTTCCTCGTCTCCGCTCCAGCCCCCTGGGGACGACTCTTCTCCGGGGCCTTCCAACCAAAGGGTTTCCTCGTCAACCGCTCCAGCCCCCTGGGGACAACTCTTCTCCGGGGCCTTCCAACCAGGGACTGGGTAGACCCCCATTTTCCGCAACTCCTCCAAATGCCATGCTTTCTTTTTCTCGATTTCTCTTAACACAGCCTCCCTTTCCTCCCGCAATTTCCTTCTCCACTCCCTAGCCTCGGTTTCTCCCTAATAGGAGGGACGGGGCTTCAAACCTTGCCTTCTCCGTCTTTCGGCCTCCTCGTGGGGAACCTTCATCTGTTCCCACTTGCCAGTCCAGGGATCCTCCATCCAGATCCACTCCCAACCTCCTGGGATTTCCTCCCACTTCCCTTTTATATCCCCCACGGCGGCTTCAATCTCCTCCTTCTCCTTTCCCGCCAAAACTCTTCCCCCCTTTGGTTTCAGGGTTAACTCTTTTACTGCCTGGGACAAGTCCTGGGTATCTACTCCCACTTCTCTAGCTCCCGGTTCTTCCGGTATTTCTCCTAGTCCCTCGGTGTCCACCTGTTTATCCTCGCGACAGGGTGGCGAAGGGGGGTGAAGTTTGGGTGGTTTGGGCCCACGATGAGAGCGACAGCACTCCTACATAGGCCTCCTGTACAGGGGCCTCACAGTATACAAATACTAAAAAAATCAAACAAATACTACTCTGAGAAATTATAAGCCCCTCTAGCTTCTTGTGGGAGGGAGTTCCAAAGTTTGGAAGCAGACACAAATAATCCCTTCTCCCATGTATTGCACATACATAAGCTATTTAGGGCTTTATAAGTTAGAACCAACATTTTGAATTGTGTGTGGAAACAGAGCAGCAGCCAGTGGGGCTGCTGTAACACACAAATAATCCCTTCTCCCATGTATTGCACATACATAAGCTATTTAGGGCTTTATAAGTTAGAACCAACATTTTGAATTGTGTGTGGAAACAGAGCAGCAGCCAGTGGGGCTGCTGTAACAGGAGGGGTAAGTGATCCCTGTAACTAGCCCCAGACTGCAATCTGACTGGTGCATTTTTGGACCCACTGAAATTTCCTGACACTTTCCAGAGGCAGCCCCACACAAAGCATGTTACAGCAATCCAGCCAGGATGTAACTAAGGCATGTGCCACTGTGGTCAGATCATACCTCTCCAGGAACAGGTGAAGGTGGTGTACTAGTTTTAATTGTGCAAATACACTCATGGTCAGTGCCAAAACCTGGACATCCAGTTTGAGAGATGAATCCAGGAGCATCCCCAAACAGTGCACATGTGTTTTCAGTCTATTCACCCACATCCAGTCCATTACTGGTACTACTGATCTAAATTTGACACAACTTCCTCCAATTTAGGTAGCAAGAAGGGGTAAGAGTTGGGTGTGATCCACATACCGGTGACACTGAGCCCCAAATCCCATAGGAACTATGAGATATATGTATACAGACATCTACAATCCGTACTGTTTTAATACAAGTACTTAAAAGTGTCAATGTACAAAGCTTGGGAGATGAGCTTGATGCTCATCCTGCGTAACCTGTATGTGGGAGATAAAGCTTTTGTCAGAAGTGATATTACAAAATCTAAGCAGAGAGGGTTGAGGCTTGATGCTCATCCTGCGTAACCTGTATGCTCTTCTAGAATATAGTGAAGACTGTAACTAATATATAAACTCCAGATGTGAGCTCCGGCAACCCCTCTCATTTTATAATACCCTGTGCATATATGCTCAGAAACATTACTTAATAAAAGCATGTTCATGGCTTTTCTGCCCGCCAAGCCTTCCAAACGGGATGTACAACAAAACAGAAACGTATTGTTTATTTAAACTGATATCAGTGCTAACAAAAAATAGGCGTTTCAAAACCAAAGGCCATGCCGTGCGGCTTCTTTCCAAAGCACTGGGTGCAGGATTGCAGCCTTGATCGCCGTCAACCCTATAACAGGCCTTCCCAGAAGGCAGCCGGGACGGTAGGTCCGCGATGCTGCCTTTGTCGGAAGCCGTGGCCGCGATCGGCCGGGCGGCTGCTGACGCCTCGCTCCAC